TATCCTAAGAACCTTCTATGTGGACACACTGACTCTTGCTGTGAGCACCATGGAGGCAGCTGAATGGCCCCCAGCTTCAGTGAAACGATGGTGCTCTCAGAGTAGTAGTACGCGGCATGGACAGGAAGCCATGGACAGCACATTCTCCAAAGTGTGCTGTAATGCATAAACTCCACTTGGCTGCCTTTGAACGCAGTTCTTGGAAGGGTAGTGTGCCTGACCAAACAATCCAAAAACAGTGAGGGAGTGAAAAAAAAAAATTTGAAACATTGTATTGATTGAACTTCTTAGTAGATGGTCAGTAGACAATAATATATGGTTATTAGTTGGGATCTCTATAGTTAGTCTTTTAAACATTTTTCTATGAAAATAATAAATTACTTTTCATAATTTGCACCTATTTTATACAGCTAAGTCACAATAGTCCATTGCATTCTGACTGTTTTCTGCCTTTATCATTTGTAAACACAGTGGTAGGGGTTTCTTTCATTCCAAGCAGTTTTGACTCACAACACCAGAACTGGAACAAATGGCAAAGTCTTGGGGAAAGTGGTGCTGGGGCTCAAAAGGTGGCACAGTTGGAGACTGTTCTTGCTTAGCTGTGGAGTATGAGCTAGGGCCTAGATGCCAAAGCTTCATTCACTAATCCTCACATTTTTTTTTCCTTCTTATCACAGAGACCCAGGGCTTTTCCTTAAAAACAAAAGCTATCTGTATCATATAAACTATAGAGTAATAGCAGCAGGTTAGGAACATAAAATTTACATGTAGAATATGTGAATCAATACAGAGTAATACACCATGAATCATTAAGATGATAAAATAACAATGCAGCAAGTCTTCATTTGTGTTTTTTAAGGAAGGAACATAAACATGGATGTGTATATGTGCATGCATGTGCACACAACTGCTCATGTACATGTGAATGTGCACAGACCAGTCCTGGAGAGACAGATGCCTGTCATCTCTGGGAGAAGAAGAAAGAAGTGAAGCTTAATTCCTACACTTTGGTTTTCTAAAGAAGAAAAAAAAACTTTTTATAAGTAAAAGTGTGAACATATCCAAAAAAGTCACCAAGATACTAATAAGTAAGCACACTCCCTTATTTGTGACTTACTGGGAGGCCAACATTATGAAACAGAATCCTAGATGAGGTTCCTGCTGGTCAATCACTTGCCCAAGTATGTTCAAGAGAATCTTAAAGAATGACAGGAACAATGGAGAAGGAAAGCAATTATCAGGTAAAGAGCAGCAAGGGACAGCTGTGTAGCTCTTCCTGTGGCACTCTGTAGCATGGGGCTATGAGTTATTGCAGGAGTGCCACAGGAAATGTCACACTAAGACGTGTTTACTATAAGTCTCTGTCCATGAGAGTTTGCCTTTATGTCACGTTCACCTTTTCTTCTTTTAGAAATTCTAGAATATGTAAGCATGAACCAAGAGAAGGAAAATGAATAACCTGGAATTGCATCCAGCAGAGATAGCTATTTTGAGCTCACTCCTTCTCTACTGCTGCATCGCTGGCTTTGCTCTCATCAAAGGAATGCAGCAGTAGGACCACAGTGCATTTCTTCCCTCTGATGTTAGCAACATGACTGCTCTCATCACCAAACTTGCCAGACATAACTTATTTACTTATTGTGTGTATTTATGTGTGAACATGTGTGTACATCAACAAGTGTGTGCAGGTGCTCCAAGAGGACAGGACCTGGAGTTACAGGCTGTTGTGGGGTGCCAGATGTAAGTGTTAGAAACCAAATCCTGGTCCTTAGCATGAGCAACAAGCACTCTTATTTGCTGAGCCATCTCTCTAGCCCCTAAACACAACTTTTAACGGCAGAAATAGTAAGTAAAAAGACAAATAAAATTCTGTACCTACATTTTTTTCTTCTTTTACCATTACTGCAGCAAATCACCAACTTTGCATTCTAGAGTAAACCCACTTGGCAATGAGATACAATTCTTCTAATCAAATGTTGGACTTGGCATGTTACCAATTTGCTGGGATTTTAGGATCTCTCTAAGACTGGTGTGAAATGTTTCGGTCTTGTGTCATCATTACTGGGGTTGTACCAGGGTTATGCTTGCCTCATGTCTTCCATCAGCTCCAGGGCCACCTCTCTGGGGAAGCACGTGCAAGTGGGCTTCTTGATTCTCAAGTGTCCCACCATGACTTGCTTGGGCTCTCTCTGTGGGATGTTTTCAATCATTAATTCAAATTTTCAAAATTGACCAGAACATTCCCATTTCTTCTTGTGCCAATTTTGATGTGATGTTGATTTTTTTTTTCCAGGACTTCATTCTACTTTTTTTTTTTTTTTTTTTGCAGTGGAGGTTTTCACAATCCTCTTGTATGGGCTGGGGAGATAGCTTAGAGGGTAAGGTACCAGCTATGCAAAGGCCCAGAGACAGAAGGATCCCTGGACCCTGATGGCCAGACAATCAAAGCAGCAAACGCCAGGTTCAGGGAGAGTGACTACAGACGATGGTTTCCCACGCATCTGTATAGGCAAGGGAACTTACACATATATAAACTTACACGCACACAGACACCCTCTGTGCTATATGGGTAATGATTATGGGATCTGTCGTGAGTCTCTTTTTTCTGTCTGTTACTACCTATGTTTCTCTGCTATTTTCTTTCCTTGACTTTAACCCATTTCAAAAGAGGTTTACTGATTTTATGAGTCCTTTTGTTGTTTCTGAGTTTTCTAGCTCAGTAATTTCTGATCTTTGTTGCCTCTTAGGCTTTCTTCTCTATTTTTCTACTCTTTTTTTTTGTTTACTGAATAGCTGAATGCTCAGTTCATTACTTTTCTTTTGTAATACATAAATAAACTGGAAGGCTGCAACACTTCCTTACATGCTGCTGTAGCCATATCTATAACTTTTAATATATATAGGATTTTCATTATTCTATCAATATATTTTCTTGTTTTGTTTGTTGTGTGCTACTAGGAATTGACCCCAAGTTTTCACACACGCTAGGCGAGCACTCTGTCACTAAGCTATGCACCCCCCATATTTTCTAATGTCTATTATTATTATTTATTTTTTTTCACTCACAGGATCAGAAGTTTAATTCTCAATTTCCAAGTGCATACCAATTTTCTTTCCCTTTTTTGATTTCCAGGCTAATTTTATTGTTCTTAGTCAGTGTACTAAGAAGCTGCATAAATCCCCAATACAGGGATAGAACTTAAACTATGACTTTCCTAGTTGGAGGCAGAAACAACACTGTAAAAACCATAATATACATAAATCTTTGTTGCATTTTAGGTCTTTTCTCAGGGTAGATTCCCCAAAGTGGAAATCTTGTGTAAACAATTCTTAGTCCTCTTATATATCCAGCTAGTATCTTTAATAGATTCCACTGTTGTCACCAGCATCTAAGTATGTCAGCATCCTCAGATCTTCCCTACCCATGAGGATTTATTTATTGCTTATTTTAGTTGAGATACTGCCTTATGTATCTTAGGTTAGCCTTAAACTTAAGTAGCTAATGATGACCTTGAACTTCTGACTCTCCTGCCTCAGCCTCCTATGCGCTGATAATAGCTGTACACCACCATGCCCAGTCCAGAAGGAATACTTCTGAAATACCTGCTTTATTTGATAAGGGGAGAACATCATATTTTGCCTAAAAATACTTGTATATTAGATTCTTGAGAGAACACACATTTATGAATATTTATCACTTATCTAAGTGTCTTTAGACCATTTAGGCATTACTGATTTTTAATTTTCTATGTTCTTACATAGGATTCTTATAACCACCTACAGATGGTGAGGCCATCAACCTTTATCTGAGAAATTGCTCTGAAAGCCACATCTCTCCTTCCTGGTCAATGTGTGCATGCTGTCCCAGAGGCAGCCAAGGGTTCTGGTGAAGGAGCAGCAGTCCAGTCTGCTAAGGATCAGCAGCAGGACTAAAGGCCTTTTACTTACTCACTCACTCATCTATCTCTCTTTTTTTTTTTAAATTTATTTATTTATTATGCATACAATATTCTGTCTGTGTGCCTGCAGGCCAGAAGGGGGCACCAGATCTCGTTACAGATGGTTGTGAGCCACCATGTGGTTGCTGGGAATTGAACTCAGGACCTTTGGAAGAGCAGGCAATGCTCTTAACCTTTGAGCCATCTCTCCAGCCCACTCATCTATCTCTCCTGAGCTTCTGTAGTGTGTAGTCTTTAGCAGGCTGCTGAGCTAATGAGGGACAACTAGCATGGCTCAGGAATGCCCTTGCAGACTTATAATCCAGTGGGGAAGGTAGATATTAGCCAGTTACTAGGCAAAATTAATAACAGCAATACATGCCATGAAGAAAAAACCAGAACACTCTGAGATAGCTCCTGGGGTCTCAGATGAGGAATGAACCAGGTTTGGGTGATAGGACTATCTCTGCAGATGTGACGTTTAAACTGAGACAAGGACATGGATGAGCTAGCAAGAAAAGATGGGAAGAGCACTCCAGGCAGAAGAAACAGCTCTGGAGCATGAGTGGCTATGGGCAGGTTATCTCCTTCTGTTTGGGGAACAAAACTTCCCAACTCAGAAACTCTGGAGACTGGAAGGGAAGAAATCCAGATCTCAATGTGTCACTTGGAGTCACTATGATGCCTTCGCTGAGAATATTCAAGTGTTTAAATTTTTCTAAAACATGATGTTAAGCAGTTGACACTGACAAGGCCAGTTGCTGTATATATAAAAGAGCCTTTGCCTGAGAAAGAGCCTCTTGTTTCTGAGCTGTTTCCAGGGTTGTTCCAAAATGAGGAAAACGTAGTTCAAGAGAAAATATTAATCACTAAGTGCTAAACAGGATGCAGACTACCAGAGAGCACAGAATCTATCATTCTGCTTTGAGACACACTTCTAGTGAGAGCTGTGGTCACTTTTCATCTGCTTAGGGACGCCAGGCCAGAAAGTATGGTCAACCATGTCACTCCTAAGTATGTTTGCAACAGACGAAGCAGCACAGAGCGAGGCAGTCAACATACTGTTCTCGCGGACCAGGCAGAACTCCCAGGTGTTCTGGCTCTCCAGCGTGCTCTCCAGGTCCACTGCGACGTTAGGCTCACTCTGCTTCTCCAGGCGGTACTGAGGGCCTGGAAGATCAAAGGGGCAGGAGGAGGGGAGGAAGTCTGAAATGGTGAATGTAACACTCAGAAATGACCTACCACTCATCAGGGAAAGCCAAATGAAAACGATAATGTCTGACTCAAGGATGCAACTACCCAAGACCAGAAACTGGCTCCTCTCACCACGTCCTTAGTTCTTCCCACACTAGGTAAAAGGTCTGAGAGAGAATGAACTGGAGGCACAAAATACTGCCCTGTTTCTCTGATATGGAACAGGTTATCATCCTCTCTGGACCTGTTTCTAGACTTTATACCTCAACAAGTATGATGAAGACAAAGATGACGTGAATAAAACACTGACTCAGAGCCGGCATGGTAACTAACACACATCTTTAAGTCCAGCACTCGGGAGGCAGAGGCAGGTGGGTCTAGGGTTGTGTAGAGAGACCCTGTCTCAAACACACACACACACACACACCCCTACTGGCTTAGGAATCATTGATTTTACACGAGGCCCTGTTGCCAAGGTACTTTTTAATAATCATCGCACACTGATCAATTACAATCAGGAATAAGGTATGTGTAGAACTCTATGATAGCTTAAGAAGTCAAAGAAATGAAAACACAAAATATACAGAGTTGATCCCAGGCTTTGGGTTTGCTAATGAAAAGGTAGAAGCTACCTATCAGCTGTTTTTACTTTTTTGTTTATGCTTTTATTAAGACATCTGTGGAAACATTAGAGACATGGTGCAGTATTTCACAACCAAGAATTCTACCCATCTCATTCTACCTGAGGGTTATGGCAGATCTGAAAAGGCAGCAGGACATTTTATACATTTATTCATTATTTCTTTGTCAACCTAAATAGCAATGTTGTTCTGTCAGATTCGAAACTGTGCCTGTAATTTGCTCATGGTTATTGGAAAGGTGAGAGACACAGGAAACTCTCATGTTTGGCCAGATACAAGGAGGTATGAGAGAGCTGAGGATGGCAGCAGAGGCAGTGCAGAGATCCCGGAAAAATCTAGGCCTCTCTATTCCCAACACCCCAGAAGCAACATGTCAGAGCCATGCATCAATTTCCATAAATTTATAGTGGGATCTGGGTACAAAGATTAATTATAACCATCAGCCCCCTGTATCTATATTGTGTGACTTAACCACTGCAGACTGAAAACACTTGGGCAAAGTTGTGTATACAGCACACTTAATATTTCCCATCATTCCTCATCATCCATAGAGCAACTACCCAGCCTGCACTGTACCAAGCACTTCACAGACTCCAGAGTCACAGTTTGTGGGAGAGTGTGCTATGCAAACACTACACCATGGACAGAGGGGCCTGAGCACCTGCAGACTCAGGAGCCCAAGGAGGTCCTAAAATCAATCCCCAACCCAAGATTCTAATATCTAATAGTGTCATGACACTCAAAATTTGGGAACAACTTAGATTTGATAACAAAGAGCCTACTAAATAAAATATTGTTGAGTATTTCAGAGATATTAAAAGTAATTCTAAGATATTCAATATTACAAAACATGTTCATAGCATGTTATTTTACAAAACAAACCCCAAGGCACAATTTTTATAGGATAATTATTGTTATAAAAATGCATATGAAAGTGCAGGGTTAAGAAAACTGTTCCTAAAATGTAGGGATAAGTCCCGCCCCTTGGGGGGCGTGTTCGCCTCGGGCTAATGTTTGCCTATAAATTTGGCGAGTGTGCTCCCAGCCGTCCCTTCTGCTTTCCTGGTCTCGGCGGGAACGGTGGTTCTGTAAGTCTATTTCGCCATTAAAGCTGTATATATATTTTTACAATCTGTCTGCATTCGTTTACGCCGTTACATTTTGGCGCCCAACGTGGGGCTATTTTGCCCCCGACTCAAGCGGGTAGCCCGCTAGCTAACACAGCACCCTCCCGGGTGCTGTTTTTTAGTTCGTGACTCGGGCCCCAGTGCCGAGTCTGAGACACACTCGGCCACACAGGCCCATTCTGCCTGCCTTGGCTAAGTTTGCAGCGGAACCTCACTGCCTGAATTAGCAGAAGCTCAAGTACCTGTGGTTTTGCAACAAAAGCCGCCACAGTGGCAGATTTGGTCTGATACAAAGTGACTTAGCCAGGTGGTGGTGGCGCACGCCTTTGATACCAGCACTTGGGAGGCAGAGGCAGGCGGATCTCTGTGAGTTTGAGGCCTGCCAGGCGGTGGTGGCGCACGCCTTTAATCCCAGCACTTGGGAAGCAGAGGCAGGTGGATCTCTGTGAGTTTAAGGCCTGCCAGGCGGTGGCAGCGCATGCCTTTAATCCCAGCACTTGGGAGGCAGAGACAGGAGGATCTCTGTGAGTTCGAGGCCAGCCTGTTCTACAAGAGCTAGTTCTAGGACAGGCTCCAAAAACACAGAGACCACCACTGGCAGGAACTGATCATTGCAGGTAAAAAATTTTTCTTTTATAAATAAAATGTCTGAACACATTAATATTCAAGAATTTAACAGTTTTTTTTAATTGTACCATGTGGGAGATTTTACAAGAGGTGTCTATCACCCCACATCTATGGATCCTTCTGGGATTCGTAGTTTTCATTGTCACTAAATGGTTTGATAATAGAAATATGATAAAGTCTTTACGAGACGAATCCAGGATTCTTAAGGCAGAGATTGAATGCTTAAAAACAATTGAGAATAACAACAATCTTCTCAAGAATCATTTTGAAGTTCTCCAGGTTGATGTTAAGGAGAAATTCATTACTATGGAAGAGGGAACAGCTGATTTGGATCATAAGCTTCAGTCCCTTTCAGTAGGAACTGAAACATTAGTGGCTGATATTAAGGAGAAATTCATTACTATGGAAGAGGGAACAGCTGATTTGGATCATAAGCTTCAGTCCCTTTCTGTAGGAAATGAAACATTAACTGAGAGAATCAAAACTGCTGAATGTGACAATCGGATTTTGTTTAAAGCTTATGACAGATTGACGGAAAGATTGCCAATACAAGAAGGCACGGTTTATGCCATAAAAATTATGTCCAAAGATGAGATGTTATCTCTAACGAACAAACTTCATACTTTAGAGTCCTCAATGAAGGCTTTGGAACATAATTCTGGACAGGAGATTCAGACATTGCAGAAGGCAATGGTGAATAGAATTGAAAAGATTGAGGAATTTCTAAATTCTGATGAAGAAGAGCAAAGGGTAGAAAGGCAAATTTTAACTACATCTGTGGGTAAATCTCTCCGGGACAATTTCCACAAAGCTCTACCTGCAGCTCTACCTGCCTTTCCAGTAATAACAACAGAGAAGGTGATTGGTTCCAAAAACCCTAGGGTCATCAAGGAGGATACATGGGAGCCTGTCCGTATGAATGATCTCAAGGAAATAAAACAGGCTGTCATGACTTTTGGGATGCAAGCTTCTTTTGTTAAAGAGATGATAAGAACTTGGGCCATGACAAGCAGAGCAACCCCCTCGGACTGGCTCCAGCTGAGCTCTGCGGTACTTGAGAGTGGACCGCAATTGAAATGGAAATGCTTATTCAGGCAAGAGGCTAGACTCTTAGAACAGCAGGAAAAAGCGAAGGGAATTGACATTTCCTTAGATAAAATTCTAGGTGAAGGGTTCTTTTCCGACCCTCAGGAGCAAGCTAATTTGGATGAAAACACACTCTCCATGTGTACTACAGCAGCCTTAAGGGCTTGGGACAGGGTACAAGACCCAGGACAGAGAATGGCATCATTTGTCAGAGTTAAACAGGGTCAGAGAGAACCCTTTAGTGACTTTTTACAAAGATTAACTAAGGCTGTACAAATAGGAATATCTGACCCAGAAGCAAGATGTATAATGATTGAGTCTTTGGCTTATGAAAATGCAAATGTGGAATGCAAAAGGATTTTGGGTCCTTTAAAGCTCAGATCAGCGCTCTTGGAAGAATGGGTCTTGCATACACTCAATGTTGATACATTTGATTATGGCACTGAAGCATGGGTAGAAGAAGCAATTTCCAATGGTAAAAGGAGACACCAGAATACCAAATGTTTTAATTGTGGCAAAATGGGTCATATGAAAAGGAATTGTAGACAAAGGATTTTCAGAAATAATAATAATGCATCTTTCAGAAATAATAATAATAATGCATCTTCTAGAAATAACAGAAATAGGACTCAGCCTCAAGGTTTATGTAGAAGATGTGGAAAAGGCAGACATTGGACAAATGAATGCAGGTCTACAAGAGATAGGCAAGGCAACCTGATACAGTCGGGAAACGTGAGAGGGGGGGCCTCACAGGCCCCCATGGCAAACATGGTTCAGTCATTTCCAGTTTCTGCAGAGAACGTGCCTCGTCAGGACAATTAGGAAGCCCCATGCCTACTGTCACAAGCAATGATGATCAGAAAGATAAGTTACGTGTGTTTTGGCAAACTTCTATAAATGATCAAAGACCTAAACTGAGAGTGTGTGTAAATGGCATTTTTATTACTGGCCTGCTGGACACAGGTGCTGATGTAAGTATCATTACCCCAGAATCTTGGCATCCGTGTTGGCCTCTTCAGAATGTACATGTTCAGCTCCTGGGAATTGGAACCCTATCTCGAGTAAGGCAGAGCACGAGATGGGTTGAATGTATAGGGCCAGAGGGACAAATAGGAAAATTAAGGCCATATGTAGCCAATATCGTAATGAATTTATGGGGTCGTGACCTATTACAACAATGGAATACCAAAATTAACATTCCTGCTACTTCTAGAGCCTATATTTCTGAGAATAATATTAAAAGATATTACAAATGGAGAAAACCGGCCATTCGGGCTGTACAAGAACAAGCAATTGATGTCCTTTCAGAGATACCAACAGCCTTGCCTCTAAAACGGTTGACTGAGAAACCAATATGGACAAAGCAATGGCCTTTAGCTGAGGAAAAGTTACAGGCTTTAGAACAGCTGGTACAAGAACAATTAGATGCTGGACATATAGAAGAATCTACCAGCCCTTGGAATTCTCCTGTATTTGTGATTAAGAAAAAATCAGG